AGTGTGCGTTTTTCTTTTTTTTTTGATAAAGCAAGTGTGTGTTTTTCTATATGAACAAGGGTGTTTCCTCATGTAATGTCCCAATCTCGTCGTGTTAATCTTTACACGACAATAGATTTGATGTTTCACATTTTAAGTTAGAGATGAGAAAACTGATTCCTTCCATACTAAGTTTCCCAATCAATTCACAACCTGATTATTTCAAGTTCGTAAATGAAGATCTTCTTTTTTTTTTTGTCAAGATATATTTACAATAATGTGTGGATGTATCTTGTAATCTCCTCTAATTAAACTTTCAATACTCAAATTTTTTTTTTTTTTAAACATCTTTTCAATACTCAAATTTTGTTTGGATAAAATGCCTGAAATATTTACAATTTTTTGTCTTATATTAATTTGTCAAAATAACAATTTTTTTTTTTACCAGATTATAGTCTAAATTTTTTTTTCAACTAGACATTTGGTCCATTTTTCAACAATTTGCGAGAAGTTGAAATCAAACTTGTTATATATGTATATAAATTAAAAAAAAAAAGATAAATGATTGGACAACCGGTTGAAGATCCCAAATTTACTAAAAGAATTACAGTTGAACTCTCATAGTAACACTGTAAAAAGAAAAGCTATAATGATATCACCTCAATACCTCATATTTCCACTTTTGAAAATATGATTAGATGAAAACTTGAGGATATCTCTCTATCTCTCTATCTTCATTTACAATTTTTCCTCTAAAAATAAATTTTTTCTTCTTATATTTATGACTTTTACGATGAAGACCATCCGAAATAATATAGAAGTAGATTTATTTATTTTTTTTGAATGAATGTAAAATTGGTATTAAAAAACGTTTCTATAAATAATGTGCCTTCAAACTGAAAAAGAAATCAGAACTAGCAACAAATCTACTTTCTTCTTAGCAAAGTGGAACTTTGTATATGGGAAATCACTCGTATTATATACTAGCGATATTCCATGTGAAATTGCATACCGTCTCAAACGACGATGGATAATCATCCACACAACAAATATTTAGAAACTATCGAAATTTTTTAAGGGGAAGA